TCTGCCGAAAGCCTGCATAAGGCCGGATCCAGCCCCTGTCGGCCGAAGATCTGGCGCAGGTTCAGCTTCGGGGTTGCCGCTTCGCCGGCGTACACGGTGCGATCCACCATGGCTGCCTATCCGAGCGGTCTGAGAAAAAGCTTCGGACAGCTAGGATTCAGCATCGGCAGACCATCAGAACGACATGCGGTGTATTCACGGCTCAGTAAAGATCTTACCAGAGCAGAGCGAGCACATCTGGGTGCTCGGTGGGATCTCGCCGAGGTCTTCGCACTCGGTGATCGCATACCGGCCACAGAGCGTTCGCTCCGTGCCCGAACCATCTATGTACATGGCACTGGCATGGTACTTAAGGCTCAAATCCTTAGAGGATCCCGAGGCAGATCTAGCCTTGGTGACGTAAGTCAGAGCGAGGTCGCCGAAGTCGACCAGGTTAGTCGTCGGCCTCGAACTCCGGCGGGGACCTCCAGTCGGAGGCGATCCTCTTCGTGAGCCGCTTGACCATCTCGATCGAGATCTCCTTCCGGCTCCGAGCGTACTTCAAGACCAGCTGGCTCGGATCCTTCCAGTTCGCCTGGAGACCGATCTCCTTGTCTGGCTCCTGAGCCTGGACTGCCGCCGCGAGCAGCGTGACTCGGCACGAGTGCCAGGTGATCTCCGGCACGACCTTCAGGAGCTGCTTGAGATGCTCGGGAGCGATGTGCCCCCTCTTCAGGTCGTCCGATGCTGCAGTCGTGAGCACGTACCTCAGCCACAGGATGCTTCGCTGGTAGCTGGCGGGTCGATCGGCGAATCGCTCTGCCGACTCGAGCTCCTTCATGAAGTAGTCACGATCGTCCATCTCGAACGATGCCGCATGCCAACCGTCTTCCATCCAATCGGATCCGGAGACGGAGACCTTGGCCGCTGCGAACCGAGTTCCTTTCTTTTGTCGCTCGACCTTGGTCTGCCATACCACCCCGTACAATGGCCTCGTCCTTCAAGACGAGCGTCTCGGGCACCACATGGAGAGCGTCGTCGAACCTGAGGGACGAGTAGATCATCACGAGCACCCACCATGAGAAGAAGGCCATATGGCGAACTGGCTCGACCTGAAGCGAGCGCACACGAACCTCTCGAGCGCCGCTACCAAGACCAAGGGAATAGGAACCGCTTCCCGAGTCTCCTTCCTTCGATCGCCGTACACCTTCTTCTGCAAGGCCATGATCCGGGGGTCGAGGAGATCCGGCATCTGCAGCCTGATCCGCTTGCAGATCCACTTGACCGCCCCGCGAACCGACGGGATCACCGTGGGCCCGCATCCCCGATCGGAGAGGTTCAGGAGGTACTTCACGAGCACGTCGGTGGTCAGCGGGATCGCCGGGATGTTCTGCGACCGAGCCCACGTCTCCATTCGTTCCGAACGCACTGTTGGATCGTGCGGTACCCGCCACTCTCAAAGACGATCACCCTCAAGGCGTTCATCTCGTCCTGGGATAGAGTCGGATAGAGGAGATCCAGGCTTCGGGTTTCCAGCGATCGCTGCATGCTCACCGCACCGCTCGACGATCGCTTTTAGCCTCATGCCCCACTTCCGAGCTTCTCCGAGTTCTCGAGTCTTGAGCGAAGCCTGCTGGTCCTCCGCACGTGGCTCGATCGACCTCGGCCTCTTAGCGAGCGGTAGAGGCACCGGCGGCTCGCTGCCCGTGCCCTTCGACAGGGGCGACCGACCGGTGCTTCGCCCATGCCAAAACCCAGATTCGTGGCTAGATCAGCCCAGCCCGCTGCCGCCGTGCTGCGAATCAGCACGAACAGCAGCTCGATCGAAGGGACCCACCTGCCGAGCTCCTCCTCGTTCTTGCGCCGAGCTGGCGTGTGAAGTTCCTCAAGGGCAGGCACTAGCTCAACGAACGCTTGCACACACTCAGCGATCGTCCCGTCCGAAACTGCCGAGAGCTTCTCGAACTGAGCCATCCGAAGATCCACCAACCATTGGCAGAACTCATCCCCGAACAAGGGAAGGGATAAAATTTTCCGAACGGATCTATCCATGCTTGGCCTGAACAGCTGCACATACGATCGCACGTGCCTGCTAATGGCAACCGAGCGCCGTGCCTGAGACAGGTCATGATCACACTCACTTCCGGCAGAACATGCGCTGGGATCTAGCGCGCCGAGAGGATCGCTCGGCATGTTTGTTCCGCGGAAGAGCCCGGCATGATCAGCGGGAAGCTTCGGTCGAGCGGCGCACCACTCTCTTGCTGGAGCGTGCGCAAAACCGACCATCAGCTGAGCCACGACCGACATCACTCCACCCCCGAGGTGTCCATCGTGTAGGGGCCCGATGTCGATCGCGCCGTGGGTACGCCGGGGCGAACGCCTTCGATCGGCACCGAGGTTGGAGTGGAGGCGGATGCCGTGATCTCTTGGCCCGTCTGCTGATCCGCTCGTACTCCGCCTGCTCACGGTGCTGGAGCACGTCGGTGAAGACCTGAGGCGTGATCGCAGCCGACGTGCGCGAGAAGCGCATGTCAGCCCTCATGCGATCGCGGGCATCGGTGACGACCTCCTCGGCGATCTGCTCCTCGCCGAGCTGGCCTTCCGTCGGCACCTGAACCGTGCTCACCCTCTGGTCGAACACCTGTTGAGTGAGGTGGGCATGTTCGTGATCGCCGAGGTGACCGAGGAGCCAAACTGCTGCACAGCCTGCCGAGCCGCCTCGTCCATGAGCGACCGGTGGGCGAGCGCCTCCTGCCGGACGAGCTCCAATCGGCAGACCCTGAGCTTGGATCGAGCCCTCACGTGGAAGTTCCCATGATTCACCGGGAACTCGTCTGTCGCAGTTCCCACTTGATCTTGCTCACCGGCGAACGCACTGTGGTACCAGGGAGCGATCACCGCAGACAGCTGGGCGAACTGCTGGATGTGGTCTGGACCTTCCACGCGAGCGCGCTGGTTCCGACAGGCCTGGATCGTGTTGATCAAGGCGGGGCCCGAGATATGGCTGACCGTGAGCCACGTGCCCGGCACCGAAGTTCTCCCGCACTTGAGATCGATCCGGTTGTTGGCGTCCCGGAACCGAAACTCAACACGATCGGCATCGTTCCCGTAGCCTTCTCGCGATGAGCGATCTGTCACCCTGAGCTCGCAAGTGCTCATGGCATGATCACTCGCCATCACTGCTCCTCTCGGGCCGATCGTGTAGACTCGGGCTCCAACCTCGAACGAGGTCACGGAGACCTTCCATCCAACGAAGACCGAGATGACGATCGAGGGTCGGAACCATCCTTCGTTGGCCGACCGGATCAAGACCTCGTCACAGAACTGCTGCTGGACAGAGAGATCGGAGTCCGAGCGGTAGCCCCTGAAGACCCAATGGAAGAGGACCTCATTTCCATTGAAGACCTTCACATCCACATAGGTGGCCGAGGTGTCGAACATCACCGGCCACGTGAAGGGCTGGAAAGCCGGGTGCGATAGCGCCCGACTCGCATAGGAGTCCCACTGAGCACATGGGCCCCCTGTTCTCGAAGTCATCGAGAAGAGCAGAACTGCCTTGATACCGTCGAGCGTATAGTTCGCGAACAGCGAACAGTGGTAGCCCGAGTTCGGGGGCATGACCAGGTCCCGCTCCGTGAGCACGTTGGTCGAACTGGCGGCATTCGAGATGATCTCCTCGGCCAGCCAGTTCTGGAACGGGGAGATCACCCGATCGTCGCGATTGTCGATGATGAGGAGGGAGTTCTTGGTCTCGTCCTCCTCTTCAACCACGAGCTGGCGAACGAACTCGGGTCGCTGCACCGCGAAAGGGTTGTGGGCAGCAGGAGCACCACGATCACGACGTCCACGACGATCGTCGCGACCCCAGCCTCCAGAGCCCCAATCACCGGATGCGGCAGCTGGAGCCGCGGGATTCTCGGGAGCCTCTGCCTCGCCTGGAGTGTAGAATCCCCAGCTTCCCGGATTCTCAGGCTGACCAAGCCGGCGAGGCAACCCGAACTGTGGGGCCATCGGAGCCGCCATCGGCCGACCTTGATGAAAGCCAGCGGGAGGGAACGACATGGCTGCAATCGAGCACTTCCACCTCCCACGCCGAACTTTTTCGGTATGGCCCGATCGGCTGTTGCCAAAATGGCCACGGTAAAACATGATCACGTCTGTTCCAACGATCGCGAAACTGATCTCCTAATTCCTACCCACCAGACCGATAATTAGGAGACCAGATAGATCGATAGATATACGCAAGTTCCGTATCAGGCTTCGCTGCGATTATTGAAACGAAGCAAACATGTCTCCGAAAATCTGCAACCCTTCCCTCATATCTACTTAGCATAAATGTGTCTTGAAACGAAGAGACTTATCCTCGCCTAGTCGGATCTCCCACATTCTCCCATTGTCATACGTCTCCTACCCACCCGTGCATTTGTCATCCCTCGGAGAGCCAAACTGCCAAAGTGTGAATAACCACTGGTGGCTAATCTTGTTCAATGCAACCGGAACAGTTTTGCTTCTGTCTGCCGGTCGGCTGCCTCATCCTGGTCGGTAGATCGTTCAAGATAGCGGGGCTGACTCATGAATCAGGGTAGGGGATGATACAAAGAGCTGGGAGGTGAACTCGAACTGTTGCCTCACCTGCTCTTGACTCTTGGTGGTGTGTGCGACACGGGAGAGACTGGACTCGTCACGTATGAGCAAACAAAGCAGCAGCAGGATTACTAGAGGTTATCCGTCGCATGCCTGCATACTGACTTCAGATACCTGCTGCCTGAATGAATGGCGTTGAGACGCACAAACAGCACTGTTGCGACTTGCAACCGTACCTGTTGGGACAAGACACGCCCAAATTAAACTTGATATGACTGAGCTGGTTCTGCGAGGAGGCAGAAGAGAAACCTGCTGGTGAAAGCTCGATTGAATTTCGACTCGGTCTCCTCGTGAGGTTGGATCCACAAGTGTACAAGACTCCATCCGTCGCGCTCATTATGCAAGTTTGCATTGTTTGAAACACGCCCGATTCTACTTCACGTCGTCAGCTGCTGGAATTCGATGATCTGAAGACTTCCAGCGCTCCAAGAACCAAATACTCTTGTAAAGCTGAGATCTCCGCCGAGTTTTCGTACAGATGCCTCACAGGCAAAGGGATCCAAGAGAGAACAGCGACTCGGCGACTCCTTTGCCGCTGGGACCGGGAGGCTGGCAACGCTGCAGCTCATCGAGGCCGAAGGGCTGTATGAAGACTCGGAAAGGCTGGGGAAAAGTGGCCTCACCGCCGCCGCGCTGCGAAACTGCGAAAGTCAGAGTCATCTCAAGGTGCAGCCAGCCTCCACCGACCACGACTGCTTCGTATTGGCATCTGTCACAAGTTGAGCAGATGCAGACGGCAGAACTCGTGCACATGCCTTGTGAATACACCACTTGCTGTTCTGACATTCCATGGCTGGCTTGTGTCAAACAGTCGGCCACTGACGGCTATGACCTTCGAGTCGACTGGTCCAGGCATAGCTATTCGTTCACGAGCAGGCCTCGCCAAAAACAACTTGCTTCAATGACCTGGCATAGTGGCGGTCCATTTGCTTTGACTCTTTCCACCTGCTGTCAAACACAAGACGGCATGTCTTGTCAGACATCAGCCCCTCGACAGAGAACATGTCCGAGTCCATAGAGTCCACCCCCTGGAAAGAGCTGTTGCAGAACTGAGGCTTCAATGTTTGGAAACAGCTTGCTCTGCATGTCCATGTCTCACTCAGAACCCCCCCCAAAAAATGTCTGACACTCTGACCGGCATGCATCTTCCAACTTCTGGCTGAGAATCTCAGAAAGTCGTAGGCATGTCATAACTCCGATTCCTGTAGGGTTTAGGGTTGAGAACTCTCTTGTAACCAAGACTTCTGACAGAGTCTGAAAAGATGAGGCTGGTAGGCTTCTTCATGCTTGTTTGCGTGTTGTCTTTGAAGTGAGGGATTTCCAGTTCAAGGCGGGTTCTATTGGAACTTGAAAAGGGCTTGAGGCTTAAAGGGTGTGTGGGCTTAGCTATGTATTTAGAACGCCCAGACCTGAACCCTCCCCAACTCGAATCCTGCATCATGGTCAGGGGCGACCCCAGTAACTCTAGTAGGGTTTGTTGCTTGAGCCTTTGAAGCCTTCCAGAACCGCTATGCACCAGATCTGTCGCCTGTTTCAGGACGGACTGTTTCGACACGGACCTTGGCGATCTGGAGCACAAAATACTGAAGCAAAACTGCCAGCTTCATGCCTTCTCCATTCATGCCTTTCAGCCTAGATTCCCATCATCTGACCAGAGCTTGCCCAAATAGTTCCCAGACGTAGAAAGGGAATCCTGCCGTAAACGCATGATCGCATTAACAGAAGGTCCTTTGTGGCTATGCTCATGGAGCCTCCTGGTCGTGGGTGCCCGAAGACCTGGCCGACGACCTGCGGCTTCCATTTTGGAGATGCTACCAGCTGCATAAATCCCCGAAGCCTGTGAGACTTGAAAGATAATCTGTTCAAGTCAGCGAGCACAACGCTTGAAGTCATTGAAGATAGCTCCACCGCCTATCAGAATCAGCATGAGCACCACAGGGCTTCCTTTCTTCTGGAATTCTGACTAAATTAAGAAGTCGATGCTGCCCGGGAGTGATGTTGTCGGGAATGAACCGTATCTGGAGAGCGCGAGGTCTGCCAGGCATTGGAACATCTTCGTTCAGAGAAGGTGAGAAGAATCAAAGAAAGCGGCAGCAACGGGACTTGCTCTGGCGATTGTCAGCATGTCCCCGACCCTTCCCCTTCAAGTATCTTGTGGGCATCTTGTGCCGCGTCTGCATGTGCTTGACATATGAAGTCGTTTCGTCCGAGCAGAAACTTGCACATGATTTCGGGGCCGCACGACCGCAGCACCACGATCAATTCTGGTATATATGCTAGAGCTTGATAGTCTCATTAAAAAACAAACAAACTGTTTTCTGTCACGCTTCGGACCACTGTGAGGCAAATCAATCTACACTCAAAGCGGCTTCCAGACAAGCCTGCGGCTGAGAGTAGCCAACAAAAAAGATCACAGGACAAGGAGCTGGAACGAATTGGCAGGTGTTTCCAAGCAGGTAAAGGCTGCCTCCAGGCTTAGTGAACAGCAACAGTTGATCCAAGGCACCTTTATGCAAACCTGTGTGTGATGCAGCACTCGACGCGGTGATGTGGTCTACCCCCTATCGTGTTGTCAATCGAGCATCGCTCAGGCCAACAAATGTCGCATGTCGTGCTGAGTTGGTGTGCTTTTATGTGCCAGACGCACTCAGTACTCAGTAGGAAGGGCAGGCATGGGAGTACACGAAAAACCCCCGACACGTTTTCAATGGCTCCCGCAAGGCGTCTTCGTTAACGGTCGACTTCCGGGTCAGGGCAACCTGTGCTAGCGTGAGCAGCCGAGCAGCCCCAAGAACCACGCTCATGCTCATTACAGCCCCCCGCCCTCCCCCAGAGGACCGAAACAAGTCTCCCCCACGCACCTTCAAGGAATCACAGTGTCAAGCATTCGAAATCAATTTTTCGTTGTCTTTGCAGGCACATACCTGCCATATCCTGTGATGCTCGTCCTCCTGCGTGTATAGCTTGATACTGCCCAGAACGGAATCTTGGGACAGCCCAGCTTGTTGCAGCCAAGCCCTTAATTCAGCTGCCCTGCAGCTTGAAGTAATTACATGCACATCTCTGAAGCACTTGTGCTTTGCAGGCGAACCCATCACAGACCATACATGTCCTATCTGTTTGTGAGAGAGTGCCGTGCCCTACAGGTGCTGCAGGTTCTACGCATCGTCCATGCTCCCAGTCTATGTGGTTTCCAACGGAATTTCCGTAACTTCTCATTTCTGGCAGCCCGACGACACTGGCAATGGTGTTATCCAGCGCAGCTAACTAAGCCATGACAAGATGACAGCCGCACTGGCCCGGAAGACCGGCATAACCCCCACCAGTGCAATAATTTGGAATCATTGGCACCAGACTTACCTCTCGCCCTGGCGCCCTGCATGATGCCTCCTGATACGCATGACACGAACAACGATGGCCTGCGAACCAAGTACTTCAACTGCATTGGGACCATACACGGGACCCCCGACAGATCCCTCCACTGCTTTTTTGCTCAGTTTATTGGCTTCAATGTCACGTTTCGAACGGCACCACACATGCACATGCTCCATGAATCTTGTCTACCGACTCCGTACGTAGAGAAGCTTGAACAGAGCCGGTGCATCACCGTGGCCTCCGGCGCCTGAGCACGAATAGCCCCATCCGTCCTGCCGCAGGCTACTCAAGGTCAAGGCGGCAGTTGAGTACAAAGACAGCCGTAATTCAAGCCCCACGTCTTACGAGGCAAAAGCTGGATTGCCAATTCAAGCACGCAAGTTGCGGCCGTGGCCCTACTTGTGTCAGCAACCGCGGATACGGCTGTCAGAAGCAGGGCACGAAGCCCGACAGTGCAATTTTGCAAGGTAGTCCGAGCTCTTGAAACTGCAGTCGAGTCTCAGTGCTCTGGTCTGGTCCGTTTTTCAACATGTCGTCGGAATCTCATGCCACTTCGAAAGCCCCCAGGCGAAACAATTCATGCTATTCTGTGGCCCTTAAATTGCAGCATTCCTGCGTCGAAAGAGTTGCTGTTGAGCCTGGACTGTCGTTGCGAATTCTCGCACCTTTGCCGTTTGCCAGCTTCTACATCATCCCTGTGGTTCGGATATCCCGGTGAATCGACATGTTCACAAATACGACACAGATCTCTCGATGGCGACACATGCGTGAGACTGGGCGAAGGATTTGCCTTGCGACACGCAGGCAAGTCTCTACGAGAGGGACTCTTTTCTCAGCCCGGAGAATTAGAATCTGCTTGTCTACCTGTCTGACAATCTCGTGCCAGGTTCGACTGCACTGACAGAAATGGCCTCTTGAAATCCTCATGCTTCGCTGGTCTCGCTTCGGCCTGCGACAAGATACGACAAGTGAACCCTGCAAACAACTCGCAGCTTCATGGCAGCAACGCTCCTTGGGGTTTGGAGACGGTGCGCCCCAACTCACCTTCGACCTCTTCCTGTGCTCCCTCAGGACATAAACCTTGCGACATAGGGAGATAGGCTAGCACAAAGTAAGTTTGACAGGAAAGCAACCATCATGGAGGGCACTTCGTTCTAGCTGATAGTGAGTTCGCACAGAGGCACCGGCAACCGTGCAAAGAAGAAGGGCCAGCAGTGCCAAAACAGCTAGCAAGCCAGCGATGACCTTGTACCAGAGCATGTCCCAATGTCTGTGCTGAAGCAGATCGTGCACCTGCATCCGCCGCTGATGGGCCGCGTGAAACACCTCGCGGGACACAGGAGAGGCGGAAGCCTAAGGGAAAATGCCGCGACAGCGAGACTGGAACTGGGTGCGGAACCAACCATGCAAGAGCTCCAGAGATTAGTGACCTGAGAAGTCTATGATTTCACAGCATTCAGCCCCTACATGATGCTCTAGCGTCCTTTTCCTGCTGCTATCATGATGACGAAGGCCATCATGCTGCCGCTGGGTGGCTTTGCGGTTACCAGTAGTCTTTAACTTCTGAGACGCTTGCTTCCAAGAGCCAGGGAAATTCAGTCTTGCATGTCGCTGACTCCCATTATTTGCATCGGCAGCCAACTCTGTTTGCGACATGGCACAGACTCAAGTTGATGTCGTGCTTGTTGCTTCAGCACCATTCACGTTGTGCTTTTCTGGATGGTCTTCGATTCGGTACCGTTGGATACATACCAGAACAAATGCAACGGCCTGCACCTGTCACGCCAAGACAGACCAAGCAACAGCAGTGGCGGCATCATGAATGGCATGTCAAGACCCAGCAGCTGAGTTGGAGTCCACTGTGTTGCCAGGAGTACCAGCAATTCCCGATAAAGGCCAGAATGACCTCAAAGAGTTGACGACGGCGGTAGAGAGTCAGGGCACGGAAAGGCAGTCCTGCGGGCCGCGTCGCGAAGCCGGTTCGGGCAAGGCCCGTTGAGTCTGAGGCCCTCACCTGCCACAGCTTGGCCTTTCAGGTCTTTGGACCAGTCCTGACCAAATTTCGGAATGAGCTGGGACATGCTGGGAATCGCTCGGCATCGCTCGGCGTTGATCTGTCCTTCTGGCAACAGATGCTACTCTGCCTGCCCATGCCCAGGGAGTGCACAGCACAAGGTTTGCAGCTGCGATCAGCTGACAAGTTGTAAGCCTGTACCGACTACTGCAGGCCCGCCTGGCGATGAAGACCCCGCAGGACACGCACCAAACACTGAGGCTCAGAACATGCGAGGGCAAGCCTGATCGCGACAACACGAATGTCCAACCTTCATGGCCATATCGATTGCAAGCTTGGAAGCTGGCTGTCTTCAGATTCGAGAGGCTCGTTCCAGTACCCGGACAAGTCAAGCACACACCTCGATCATAAACTAAAGTTGACGTGCCAAGTAACAGGCGGGGAAGCTCTATCACGCAGGTCAGTCGACATGCTCTGCCCTGCTGCGAAGCAGCATCGCTGTCCAGCACGTCAGGGCTAAAGACGAAAGCACCAACTCAATCACCTTCGCTGCATGCTTCATGTCTCTGGCAGCACTCTGCTTCCGGTGCCCGGCAGAAAGTTTGCCCGGATTACTAGAACCATGTAATGTGGTTGTTTTCTGTGTGGCGGGGCCTGCTTCGATGCTATTGACTTGATGCTTGCTCCACTGGTTCGATGCTCATGCTTTATCTCCTTTTCTCCTCTTGCTGGCCTCGGGTCTGGTGGGGAGGTAGGAAGTTCAGGTGGCAGTACTTTCGTCTGCTCATGCTTTGCTTTTGTTTGGCCATGGTTTCTGCGAAGTCAGTTTTCCTGGCTGTCAAGCCTGACGCCCCTGCGGGGGAAGTAAGCACCATGGTATAACTATGGCTCCTTCACACCTTGCTGCTCATGACCAAGGGCGACGGCACGTTAAACTTTCTTCTGTTTTGCGGGCCTGCAGTGCTTCGCAGCGCTTCGTCGAGAGTCCTTCCAGCAAGACTTGGACTTCGAGGGGAAAGCAATGGAGAGATTTCTCGTGATCATCTGGCAGTCCAGTCCAGTTATCATGAACTCATGAGCCCTCCAGAACAGCTGGCAAAGCACTCAGAGTCCTGAAGAACTCGCAGCCCAAGCTTCCGCACTTGCCTGTGCCAATTTAGTATAATTTAAAAGTCGAGATACCAGTAGGTCTCAACTGCAAGGACTTGCGTTGATGCGGACATGCACGTGCTACATATCAATTCATCCTGCAAACGCCCTCATACGATCTCACCTCGATTCTGGCGGCATCCGAGCTCACGTCGGCCTGACAGGTCGTGCAAGGCTGCCGTCATCGATTTCGCATGCACGACTTGCAGAGTGAAGCCTCGCTGAGAAATGTCACCACGGCTGTCGTTGGGGTCCGTGGTTGACCGACTTCTGGCGGAGAAGGTACAGAAAAAGCCTCTCAAAGACTCCCGCTGCAAGCGGCGGAGCATAGTTAGGTTTGGCAATTGTGATTTCGGTGCGTGTCGGTGTTTTCAAAGGTTTCCCAGTAAATTTTTCCGTTGTTTCGTAAGGCTTTACAGTATGTTCACATGTTCTGCGCTTTTCCTGGAGCTCTCAAGAAATCCTGGTTCCGGCCGCTCGTTGGATTCAAAGTTCCGATCCGGGCAGCCCGTCCGGTGCCCCTTCGCGGCTGGCCGAAGTCCGAATTATGGAGATCTCTAGGAAAAATGCAAAATAGTACGAATCACCTACATTATGTTTTTCTTGTGATTTCGGCGGGTTTCGCGGTTTACTCGGGTTTTCTTAAATGCATTATTTCATTTTTCCGGTAACATTTTCATTCACGTTGTTTTTCCATAAGCTATGATTGTCTTGGAAACCTAGCTTTTGCAAAGCCGCCACATACAGGCGGCCTGCAGCTTGGGGTCTGAGCGGTCTGAAGACTGCGGCCCTGTCTGCTCGACAGGTTGCATCGAAAATAATGCAGCTCTTAAACCGTACTGCGATGCTCCATTCGACCTTTGAGAATCCCGGTCTTAGGGAAACGAGCTCCTGTGAGCATCTTTACACTCTTGCATGTCCCTTCCCGTGCAGGAAGCACTGGAGGTGCTGCTGCAGTGATTGCCGATTGCCACAGCACAAGCTACTGCAGCTACTGGTAGTGATGTGTACGAGGAAGAGGTGCAGTTCCTCTGTCCTCAAAAAGAAAACGAAGTGCCGTGCACTGCAAACTCAACAGCGCCTCGGACTCTGCACTCATTCACGCTGGCGGCCATCCATGACGAACGCATGCGGTCAGATGGCTGCAAAACACAGATCCGAGCTCCTCGATGGGAGCTAAAGCTTCAACTTCCGAGTTGGATGCCGTATAGAGTCAGTCCTACGTCTTGGTAAGTTCAGGCTAAGTCGGTACACACGATGGCTCCTCTGCTCGTGACTTGGCATCCATGGGCCACTGCGCCGTTGACGCTTGAGAAGATGCAAGCCAAGTAGAATCACATCGCAGCTCTCTGAAGCTCGACACTGCGGAGACATAGCCCACAGCACGGCGCAGCACCGGCAGAAGGTGAGCTGCAACAGATGCCGAATTGGCCGCAGTAATCTCCTGCGATCGAAAAACGCCATGGATGGTGCTGCAAGTGCCTCAGAAAAGTTTGGATGTACAGTATTTTGTTTCTGGTACAGTAGAGGATTTACTAGACAACCTTAGGGTGTTACTATCTTTTTAACGGAGATATGATTACTGGAAAACACAGTGACTAGAAGATTTCCTAACGAACATAATGGTGTTACACTATCATAGCAGCGCAGAGTAGGGCAGGCTGTCAGGCTGTCCGTGTTGTTTGATTAGGCGAGACGGACTACAGCAACTTTGTCTCGCCCCTGCATGTGAACTCAAACCCATGGCAGCTGCAGTCAAAAACAAAAGCCAGTCTTTGGACAGCCCGTGTTGTTCGCACTCACACCTCAAGCGGCCAACTTCTCCTGCCTAGAGTTCCCTACATAGTTTGGAGTCCATCTTCTCCCAAGAAGATTGGAGAGAAAACGTCTCAGATCGTCGCAGAATGGCAGGGATCGGATGGGGATCGGAGCACCACACAGAAGTGAAGCATCCATTCAGCTGCTGTGTTTTGTAAACCTTCCACCAACAAAGATTGTAACATTACAAACATCCTGAACAATAGGAATGTTACATGTAGGATCGTTACATGATTCTGTTTTTGGTATGTTATCTGCCAAATCTCCTCAACGCATCATTGTAACAGGATGTAACATCACTACAGACCGGATGTCCCGAAAACGTTTACAGCCCAGAAAAAGCGACATAAATCAAGTATCATGAATGCATGCATTCATTCGCTCAATCGTTCTTTCATGCATGCATCCATCCATCCATCCTCTGCATTCAGTCTTATGTTCATCCATTCATCCATCCCTACATTCATACTTACTGCCACGGGCCTCTCAACCACCCCCCGCTCGAGAGCCCAAGGCCGAAGGAGGTAAATGGACGTACCGTGCCCCCTTCTAGGCAGCTCGTATGTCCTCATGTGTACGTACGTATACCTTTATATGTACATTCGATGCTATGTTATACTTCCATACATACAGACATCCAAACAAGGCTCCGAGATGCCCTGAGAGCCTCTGAAACTCGACGAAACTCAAGAGCGAAACCTGCCAGGAACGAAACCCACAAGGGGCGAAAGCCGCAAAGGTCGAAACCAATGCAAAGCGGGAAACCTTCGAAGGGCGAAGCCACCGAAGTGCAAAACCCGGAGTTTTGGCTACCACTTGGCCGCTGGAACAAGCAGCGTCCAGGTTTTGCTTGAGCCATTCCGTCCCCTTCCATCCGCGTCTTGTCCGCCCCCAGAGCTCCGGATACATTCGTACTCGAAAACACGAGCATCGGCCAACCTGCTTTTCCCTCAAGTGCGGATTCAGGAGCGCGGCCAGAATTCCAAGACTTCACGAGCGCAACCAAAACCCTTTCCCAAGTACTGACAACTTCAACAGCCTACTCAAATTGCTCTCTCCAATACAGACGGATTCAGGAACAAACCCGAAGTGCGTTGCTCCACGTACGGGGGGCGAATTCAGGACCACCAGCACGCGAGCCATGTAAAATTTACAACAGGCCGCGGTCAACGGACACATCGGCTGCCCCGATAGAACGCATCCAGAGACATCCAGAGAATTGTCGTTTCCGGACGTGCATGCGGCCCATCTGTGGGAATTTAGAAAGGATCTTGCGGAATGTAGCTTCCAAAGGCTTTTTCCCAATAGGCCCCAATGTCCGGCGGATGCACGAGCCTCCAGCATCCTTTCCGGAGGCCCAAAATCGTAACTGCATCACATGCACAGCCCCGTTGCGCACGTCGACCCCGCCGGAAATGCCGCCAGCACTGAGAGATACTGAGAGGGTTGGAGTTCGAGAAAGAATGAGAAAGACATGCAGCGCGTCTATTGGAATTTACAGCGGATCACACCGACTTTATAATCGAACATAGAGTATCGTACAGTACAGTCGTGTACATTCTACAAACCCCTCGAGGCGCGTGTGTTATTTACAATGGATCCCACCAACCACATACACAGAACAACTTTCCACCAGTGGTTTCGGGAACTATGTGTTGCTGGCAAACCATCCGGAAAACCGCAATATCACCACTTGGGAATCTGGTTTTGGGAATGCTGGTTAGAGAAGTCAGGCTGCTGAAAGACATAGAGTAGTACAGTAGTTCAATACGGTAGTAGTTTCGGAAAGCTTTCTGAACATGATAATGTTACAGAGTGATGACGCAGCATAGCGATGTACAATCTCGTTAAAAGAAGAATCGGCAGAAACCATAGTGATGTTACACTCATTTTGGATGGAAAACTACAAGACATTGGACTCTGCTCATCCAGCAGCTGATATTTCTGCCTTACAGGCTCGTTCAATTGGACGATGCTTCGGCTCTGCATGGTGCTGTGATCCCGATCCTCGCCATGCCATTCTCAGATGATCTCTTCTGGATGTTTCGATATGCGGAACTTCTAATCGCCAAAGCCTTCTAATTATTCCCCGATCATGACTCGCAAGCTTGAGCCTCTTGTTTAGCACATTCGTGACTTACTGCCTAAATCACTGAGTCAAACTGCGATTCTTCTCACCACTTGAGCGCTGGAACGACACTTGCAACAATGTAACCGTGCAAGCTCGAGGTCCAGCCTACCGCGACATCTAGCAATGGCAAGAAAAAGCGGTCCGACAGAAGCGGCCGTGGAGGTCGAGATGCGCTTCCCGGAGAAACCTGACAGAAGAAGTGCGAACTTGCGATGGCTGAAATGGCTAGCGGCTGGTGGCTACACTCTACACCTACACTGCCATGGATGCTTAAGGCAGCCGCTTGCACGATCCACCATCCCTGCGACGTGCAGAACTATCTTACACGTAAAAGGCTTCCTGGGCAATGCACGGCAAATCACAGAAAACCTCAACTGCATCAGCTTTGGTCGACGTCTTGAAGCGCCAGTGCAGGCGTGCGTACCTCTCACAGTCCCAATCTGCTGCTCGCATGCTCTGTTGAACACTGACTGGTTCAATGTCAGGAGCTTCGCATGGACCGTCCACCAACTGTAGGAATGCCGGATGATAAAGCTCAGCTTGCCGAAGTGGAGAAGGGCACTCAACGGCCAACAGGCGTCGCGAAGTGTCGCAAGGAGGCAGCGTCTGACAACCCATCGATGCAAGGCGTAAGCGCCGCAAATGTGAAAGCATGCACACTCACCTCCAATCTAAGAAGCCACGCAGTCCCAAACAACGACGTCGCTGGGACATCCAAGCGTTGAGGTTGACAGGTGATAGGCCATAGGCTGACTGCGGTTGACAGGGTCGACTTGTAAAGCAGGTTTTGAAGGGTCCCGAAGGGCCCGCGGGCCCGAGCTGAAGGCCGACGTCTCCCACCGGTCCCAGGCCTTGAAAGAGCCAGTGGCAGTGGCAGTCCTCGGAGCAAACATGCGAAACCTCTCAATACTCGTACCGCTCTGCATGGCCTCGTCTGGAGCCCTAACAAAAACTCTTTCAATACTTTGAAAGACACCAAACACATATTCGCTGGCACCAAGTTGTTTCCAACTCGGCATGCATATCTTAAAGTACAACACAGCGGCAGTTTCAGGACAACGCTTCGAGCAACGTCGTGTGAGTCTACAAGACCTTGTCGAACAAAAATTGCAGGGTCAACAACTCATGATGCCGTCCATCTGAAACTGCCGCAGCAACAGCCGAAAGCCTGGCAGTTAGTCCGCGTCATCAAAATTGATGATCGCGAGAGAATAAAAAGGAAGCCAGGTCGTCACCAGCAGAGCCGAGATGGGTTGCAGTGCAACTGTTGACGACAAGCCCCGCATCTTCGTGCAAGTTTGCCAATCCGACCTTGCAAGCGAGTAATACCAATGAGTTATTCCAGCCATGCACTGCCTGAACGGGATCGGGCCTATGTGAACTAGGAGAGTGCTCCACCATGTCCCACACAACTCACATCTACGCATCGATGTTACATACATGTTGCGGAGGCTGCGCAATCGTCATATAACAGCGGCTGCCTGCTGGACTCCGTGAAACGAGTCAAGAACCCGGGATAAGGTGCCACAGCACTCCGCTGTCAGAACTCCTTCTTTTTGGTGCCTCGCAGTGTCAGTACGAACACTCGGCTGACACGAAACGAATTCAGTTGAACAAACATCCATGTCAAATCCCAGCAATAGACCCAACAGCGGAACAGGTCCATGAGCAACAACGACTTGCGCATCCAAGCGATGGCCGATTACCAGCTACTGTAGCTGATCGACACCTATTGCACGAGATTGTGCGGGCGTCTGCATGTATAGATGCCAGGGGAATGTCCGACTGAATTTGCCAGAATAGAACTGAGAATTGAAGAATAATGCCGAATGCGCGAAGACGTGTTTAAACTTTCTAGTGTAAAGGACTTCTTTTGCAGTGGCCACAGCCTGCACAGGCTGCGGGCCGCAGGAAGCGGGTCGCGGGCCCCGGGCCGTGGCGACCAGTGGGTACGAAACCCCAAACAAACCCTACAAGGAGTGGGTTTGTGCCAAACCCCAAACCCTAACTAGAGTTGCAAACGATGAAAGGAGTGGGTGGCTACGGAACCCCGAACCCTAAAAAGAGAGGGTTTGCGCAAAACCACAAACCCTAGAAACCCCAAACCCTAAAAGGAGTGGGTGGCTATGGAACCCCCTGACCCTAAAAAAAAGAGTGGGTTTGTGCCAAACCACAAACCCTAAATAGAGTTGGTGGGTACGAAAGCCCAAACCCTAAAAGGAGTGGGTGGCTACGGAACCGCAAACCCCAACAGGAGTGGGTCTGTGCCAAACCGCAAACGGGTACGAACCCCAAACCCTAAAAGGAGTGGGTGGCTACTCAACCCCGAACCCTACAAAGAGTGGGTTTGTGCCAAACCCCAAACCCTAAATAAACCCTAAAAGGAGTTTGTGGCTACGGAACCCCAAACCCTAAATAGAGTTGGTGGGTACGAAACCCCAAACCCTAAAAGGAGTGGATGGCTACGGCACCCCAGACCCTAAAAAAAGAGTGGGTTTGTGCCAAAATAGAGTTGGTGGGTACGAAACCCCAAACCCTACTTGGGTGGCTACGGAACCCCAAACCCTTAAAACAGTGGGTTTCTGCCAAACCGCACACCCCAAATAGAGTTGGTGGTTACGAACCCCAAACCTTCCTAAAAGGAGTGCGTGGATGGGTGCGAGACCCTGCACCCCAAAACGGCTGAGTGGCTACGAAACAGTCAGACCCTAAAAGGAGTGGGTCAGTGCGAAAACCTGAACCCTAAACGGAGTGAGTGGCTACGAAACCCTCATACCCTAAAAAGAGTGTTTGGGTGCGAAAATCCCAAACCCTAAAAGGAGTGCGTGGGTGCGAAACCCTGCACCCTTAAAGGAGTAGGTGTGTGCGAAACCTTGAGGCCGAAAAGGAGTGGGCCGCTGCGAAAAACCAAAACCCTAGAAGGAATGGGTTTGAACGAAACCCCAAACTTGTCGCTGTTGACCGCCGGTCACGGCCATGCTCGCGGACCGCGGAGCGTCGCCACGGGCATCCTTGTACGGCCACGTGAACGCGGTCCACGTGAGCGCGACTGGCCGCGTGGGCGTGGGTCGCGGGCCGCGTGGCCGCGCATGAATAATACTACTTCGACATTCTAGCATCGAAAAACCGCGTGAACACCCGGCCCAGCTTCTTCGTGCAGACGGTTAAACACCAGAAATGCCTGACAGGTGCAGCCGCACTTTGCAGGCCTTGACAAAATCTTTTGGGCTTGGTGGGGTTCCGGGAAGCCGGACAGGATGGACGCACAAATCGAGATTGACACATTTTCGGTTGTAGAGGGATGGGACAGAAGGATGCCCTAAACCAGACCCAAATGCGAACTGGATGAGGCAGCCCAAACATGCCCAAACCAAGCCCAGGAGCATTCTCAGGCACAAGTCTTGATTTGGAAGAGCTAGTTGGAGGCGAAACGTTAGATTTGTCTACAAATCGTTTTCATGGCATGGGCTGGGGACAGGCTCCGGGTAGCCATGCTAGGGCAGCTTCGGCCGGATAGGCAAGGGACGCCGGAAATGCTCAAACTTAAACCACCGAACCAGGAAACACCTCTGGCTGCACCACAAGACGTTCGTCAGCACAAACAAGACCAATCATTGTCCACACCGAAGGGCCCATTGGCCATACCAGCACCAAGACTAAGGCATGGAAGCATTATGAAGCATTAACGCTGCAGGGAACCCAGCATCGAAAGTTTGGGCCAGACTGTGGAAAAAGCTCAGGTGTAGCGACGTGTAACGGCGGTCTGTCTTGAAACAGTTGCCACGTGGCCTCACGTTTCATGGCTTTGAGCTTGCAAAGGCCTGCCGGTGTAGTTCCCAAATGGCAGCGACTCCTTCTCAAACAAGGAAAAAACTTTTGAAAAAACCATTGTCCGCGCAGAAATGATATAAATGACTTCACCGCGCACCAAACAGCAAATTGCACACAAACAACAACACTGGCCCAATGGACATGCAACTACCAAGAATCAAGGTCGACCGCAGGGCCCAACTAACACAAACACAGCGTTCAAAGATTCAATCAAACAGGGAGCAAGAGGGGGAAGCATTCCTCGAGGCCGAGGCTGCTTTGGCCTTCGCCAAGGGGAGGAAGGGACGAGCCTGAGTCAAAGCTCAGTCTGAATCCCAAGCAAATCTCTATACACTGAGGGCTCAAGTGGCTCCTGCTCTTCTCAGCATCTGAAAACACCCAGCTTCACCGAAGACTGGCATGCTCTGCGGGCGCAACTGGCTGCGCTTTCCTCTCATCCATGGTGAACGTCACCTTTACCGTTGCTGAGATGAGATGCTGCACTACATGTCGTCGATCGCGGCCAGGTATGCGCTGAAGGCATGCTCAGCATGAGTTCGCATGCAGTCCACAGCAGCGCACGACATGCATCAATGCAAACCAAGCTGCAAATCTCGCACTGGTGGATGGAGATCGTGTCCCGGGCTTGTGCAATATGCTGCTGTAATGACTCGTCCTTGGATCTGCAGCTTGGTGCTTGCTGTTCTGGGATAGCGTGAGAGAGTGCGAAGCTTTTGCGTGCCATGCATCGAGGATGGCGATGGACATGTATGCTGTTCAACGTCAGGCTGCCTTTGCTGCAGCACGACGTTGTTCATGCTGTTTGAAAGAAGCGCACGAACTGCAAGCTTTGATGAGTGTACGGACTGTGATCCTAAGAAGCCAGCGCCGGGCATTATGTCACCGAGGTACAAATATGTCTCTGGAGTCTGCAGAATGGCGCATGCTGCCGTATCCTTTTCCAAAACATCAGGAATGGTTCGGAATGCGGTTGCTGCATGTTGCTGCCCCGTTTACCCGAGCAGCCACACCACTGGCACCGCTCCTCTTCCTGCCGGCCTGGAGACGGAAGAACTAGCACCCAAAATGTAAGGCACAGCAAACAACATGCGGGAAGTGAGATCGTGCTCAAACATGCTCAAACCATGTCATGCCCTGTATGACAGCGTGACCAGTCCAGCACTACTGGCGCAGGGAAGCCTTGCGCGTCGGCATCCCTTCGCTGCCAAAATCTTGGCCTGCATCGCGTGGGCATGCTTGGACTTCTCCGAAACTGTATAGGCTACGAGCATCCTGAGTGTAATGTATCAAAGTGCCTCGTGGTTTGCCGGTTGCAGCCATTGCAATCCTCCATGTTGGCATCGGAAGGCAGAGATGGCAGTTCTGGCGGCCTCAGGGTTCAATCCTGTCACAATGCCTTGATCGCGGAAACTGGATTGCATTCAACACGAGACAAAGCCAACCTTGCCCATGGAACGGTGGAGCAAAGGTCCAGGTCATCGAAGCCCCTCAGTTGACTTACGGGTGCGAAGCCGAGCCCCCGCCTCCCTCCCTCCCTCCCTCCCACACACACACACAGACACACACAGACACACACACACACACACATACACACACACACACACATACACACACACACACACACAACACACAACACACAACACACAACACAGTCACAACACACACACACACAGACACACACAGACACACACACACACATACACACACACACAACACACACACACACACACAACACACACACACCACACACACACACACAAACCACACACACACCACACACACACACACAACACACAACACACACAACACACACAACACACACACACACACACACCCACCACACACACACACAACACACACACACACCACACACCACACACACAACACACAACACACAACACACACAACACACAACACACAACACACAACACAGTCACAACACACACACACACAGACACACACAGACACACACACACATACACACAACACACAACACACAACACACAACACAGTCACAACACACACACACAGACACACACACAGACACA